TCGCAAAAAATTTAAAAAAGTGGCAGCTACAATGAGAAAGTAGCTAAATTTGGCGACAAAATCCCCAAATTGGCAACACTGCTTGTACAATGCCTGGGTTATCGTCATCAAGACAAGCAACTGTATTCTTACTGTGAACTGCACCTGTATGGCTGGGTATGTAACCAAAATTTACTATCTTAAATTTTCATTATTTTTATTCGGTGTCAGCAATTTAATCAAACAAAATTTAACTGCTTATTTGCTGAAATCATACAACTGTTGTTATATGTATAGCCTAAAGCACAATTTAAACCAATGTGTTTCATACATTATACCATTTTGTGCAGGTTAGGGTCATGCTGCAGCCATGCAGCTGCACTTATGTTTAAAGTTGAGCTGTGGGTCAGGTTAGGAAAGACAGAGAAGTGTTGTACTTCAGGGACAAATATGTGGATCCAGCCATCCAAGAGAGAGGTGAAACCAGCCAGACTGAGAGAGATCAGCTTCAGAAAGGCTAAGAGGACAGACACCCAACTGCAGCCAGTCAGAGTAAAGCGTAGAAAGAACAATGTAAAAGGTAGATACAATCTGAATGTAGACGAGATCAGGTCATGTACATATAACAAGCAGGTATTAATTATATTTTTATAACCTGTCTTTTTTCAGAACTGACAGATGAAGGCATGGCAGAACTGAAAGTACTGGCACCTAACGCAGCTGTGCTCACTAGCATGGACTACTTCAGTGACACAGATTCCGCATCAGAATCTGACACGGAGACCTGCCAGAGCCACTGGTAGCTCTGTATGATGAAAATCTGAGATGCCTCTGCCAAAATGAACTACAAGAGAGGAGTGAAGAGACTTTTGAGAGACTGGGGAAGGAGTTAACTAATGAGCAGTGTGTAAACCTTGAGCTTACGACTAAAAATCAGGCCCACTCTCAGGCCTGGCACACACACAGAACTGGAAAGATAACAAGCACAACCCTACATTGTGTATGTACTGTAGTAACCGAGAGCGCTAAAACAAACCTTGTTAAACAGGTAATGCACTACAACAAACAAGATTTGTCCCATGTCCCAGCAGTACTTTGGGGAAGAGATATGGAGGACACAGCCAGAAGACAATACACAGAAATAATGAAAGCACAACATCAAAACTTTGACGTGGTGCTCTGCGGTCTTGTTGTGCGGCCAGACAAACAACATCTTGGGGCATCGCCAGATGGAATAGCAAACTGTACCTGCTGTGGGAAAGCAACTATAGAGATTAAGTGCCCCTACAAATATCGTGATGGTCTGACAGGGAGTAGTGAGGACACACAGTTCTGCTTAGACAAAACACTACAACTAAAGAAGAATCATGAATACTACCATCAAGTTCAGCTCCACATGTTTGTATGCAACACCCAGTACTGCGACTTCGTGGTTTGGACAAAGCAAGGTGTTACTATCAACCGCATCAGCAGAGATGAAGAAATGCTACAAGCAGTCCTGCCTAAAGCTGAAGTGTTCTTCAAACAGAGTGTTTTGCCTGAGCTGTTAACGCGCAGCATGGATCCACTGATGCATGCACCTACAGTCTGCTCACACTGTCAAAGGCCAGACTTTGGGATGATGATTAACTGTGCAAAGTGCAAGAACCATTTCCACTACACATGTGCCAGAGTAAGAAGAAAGGTTGTGGATTGGTATTGTGAACAATGCAAAAAAAGTCAGAATGAAATGTACTTCAAAGCAAATTATTTAATACAGTACTAGTATTTTACAGTAAAACACTTGAATGTGTATTACAATAAACAGTTGCATAAAAAATGAATCTAAATCAAGCTATCTTTTTGGGACTATACATTTACAAAGGTTTGTTAATGCTCCACACACAATTACTATATCATCTAAGAGGTCAACCTGTGTGAGTGGAATAACAGTTGTCAGAATTTTGAAATTTTTCCGTCTACCTATTACTCTTTCAATGTGTATTCTCACATTAGACAAACGCCTTGATACGTCCACTTCTTGAGCAGAGAGCTGGTTTCTTCCTTTGGTAAAGTGTGGGATCCTAAGGGTGGCACCACGTGTGGCAAGCTCATCTCTGATGGTAAAATCACGATCTGCTAGTATCTCATCATTATGCACTAGGAGGTCATAAAATCCAGACTCAGCTGTAATTCGTTTATCCGAAACACGCCCACCCCAACCTGCCGAGAGAAAAGTAATTGCTCCTGCAGGTGACATGCCAACCAAATATTTAACAGTGTTGTGGCTTTTATAAGTTGAGTACGTCTGGGCTCTGGAGGTTAAATTTGTGGGTCTGTCAATCCAAATTTCTGTACAGTCAATAATGCACCTGCAACGTTTATATTTAGGTTTAAAACATTTTGGCATATTCTTTAATATTGCATGCTTGCTTGGCCACTTGATGATAGGCTTTAAAGTCGCAGAGATAACAGGGAGCCAACTTCTCAAAATTTTAGAGAGGTCACATTCTCTGACATTAAATCTGAAAGCAATATCCTTGTTGCTGAGCCCTAATCTTAGTTTCATTAGGATGGCTAATAGATGATCCTCCAGGTTCATAGAGTCACGCACAACCTCTACACTGTCTTTAAGTTTGTGAATAAACCACTCAAAAATGACACTGGTCAGACCTGTGAAAAACAGAACATGCACTGCTTTGCTCTTGATAGAGCTAAAGGAAAATTGTGTTTTTCTGAGTGTTGACTTTAGTTCCTCATTCTCAGATTTCAGTTTGTCGATCTCCAAACGCAGGTTGACACACTCTGTAGAAAGTTGGCTGTACTTGTGTTTCAGATCATCATGGAGAACCTTTGGGACTGTGGCTTCTGAAATAGAGAATAGATTGTAACTGACTTGTAAAAGATGCACTGTCACTTGTTTTAGTTTAGCTTTTCTCTATTATTTGATTACTTCAAACATCATGTGCTAAACAGAATAATGTTCAACTTCATTCACAACACAGTTCTGCTGTATTGAACAATATATAAACAGGATGACCTGATTCATCCTCCTAATAATGACTGCCCTACATTAGTTAAGATATCACAAGTTCTTACCAGTGCCAGGACCAGCACCATGCTCCATTCTGCAGTCATCTGAGGACAGGCAAGCTCCTGAAGATTCTGATGCAACCTCATCAGTAACTTCTTTGGACTGTGGGCAGTTTCATCCCTTTTTCTTTTTCTCTTAAATCTTATATATATTTATATACACCTTGCTACGTGTACTGCGTTAGGCTAACTGAGACTTGTCATTTGCACTTATATATTGTTGCTCTTTTGTTAGTTTTGACTGCTTTTATTGTCCTCATTTGTAAGTCGCTTTGGATAAAAGCGTCTGCTAAATGACTAAATGTAAATGTAAATGTAATGCTAAGGTGTTGCTATGCGGTTGCTAGGGTACCCAGGGCTGTTGCTAAGGTGTTGCTATGCGACTGCTTAGGTACTGGGGTGGTTGCTAAGGTGATGGTATGCGGTTGCTAGGGTAACCGGAGCAGTTGCTAAGGTGTTGCTAAATAGTTGCTAGGGTGCTGCTATGTGGTTGCTAGGGTACCCAGGGCGGTTGCTAAGGTGTTGCTATGCGGTTGCTAAGGTACTCGGGGTGGTTGATATGCAGTTGCTAGGTTACCCGGGGCAGTTGCAAAAGTGTTGCAATGCGGTTGCTTAGGTACTGGGGTGGTTGCTAGGGTGTTGATATGCGGTTGCTAAGTTGCTGCTATGTGGTTGCTAGGGTAACCGGGGCGGTTGCTAAGGTGTTGATATGCGGTTGCTAAGGTATTCGGGGTGGTTGCAAGTGAGTTGCTAGGGTACCAGGGGTGGTTGCTAAGGTGTTGCTATGCGGTTGCTAGATTACCCGGGGCGGTTGCTAAGGTCTTACTATGCGGTTGCTAAGGTACTCTCGTTGGTTGCTATGCTGTTGCTAAGGTGTTGCTATTCGGTTGCTAGGGTACCCTGGGCGGTTTGCTAATGTGTTAATATGCGTTTGCTAGGGTACCAGGTATCGTTGCTTGGGTGTTGCTATGCGGTTGCTAGGGTACCTAGGGCAGATGCTAGTGTACCTGGGGTGGTTGCTATGGTGTTGCTATGCTTTTACTAAGGTATTTGGGGTGGTTGCTAGGGTGTTGATAAGCGGTTGCTAGGGTACCCGGAGGGGTGCTAAGGTGTTGCTATGCAGTTGCTAGGGTGCTGCTATGCGTTTGCTATGGTATCCGGTATGGTTGCTAGGGTGTTGCTATGAGGTTGCTAGGGTACCCGGTGTGGTTGCTAAGGTGTTGCTATGCTGCGGTTGCTAGGGTACCCGGGGTGGTTGATAAGGTGTTGCTATGCGGTAGCTAAGGTACTCGGGTCGGTTGCTAAGGTGTTGCTATGAGGTTGCTAGGGTACCCAGGGTGGTTGCTAGGGTGTTGCTATGTGGTTGCTAGGGTACCCAGGGTGGTTGCTAAGGTGTTGCTATGCGGTTGATAAGGTGATGCTATGCGATTTCTAGGGTACCTGGGGCTGTTGATAAGGTGTTGCTATGCGGTTGCTAGGGTGCTGCTAAGTGGTTGCTAGGGTACACAGAGCAATTGTTGGGGTATTGCTATGTGGTTGCTAGGGTATCCATGATGGTTGCTAAGGTGTTGCAATGCGGTAGCTAAGGTACTCGGGGCGGTTGCTAAGGTCTTGCTATGAGGTTGCAAGGGTACCCGGGGTGGTTGCTAAGGTGTTGCTATGCGGTTGCTAGGGTGTTGCTATTTGGTTGCTGAGGTACTCGGGGTGGTTGCTAAGGTGTAGCTTTGCGGTTGCTACGGTACCCAGAGCAGTTGCTAGGGTGTTGCTATGCGGTTGCTAGGGTACCATGGGCGGTGGCTAAGGTGTTGCTATGTGGTTGCTAGGGTACTCGGGGTGGTTGCTAGAGTTTTGCTATGCGGTTGCTAAGGTGTTGCTATGCGATTGCTAGAGTGTTGCTATGCGGTTGCTAGGGTACCCAGGGCCGTTGCTAGAGTGTTGCTATATGGTTGCTAAGGTGTTGCTATGCGGTTGCTAGGGTACCCAGGGTGGTTGCTAAGGTGTTGCTATGCGGTTGATAAGGTGATGCTATGCGATTTCTAGGGTACCTGGGGCTGTTGATAAGGTGTTGCTATGCGGTTGCTAGGGTGCTGCTAAGTGGTTGCTAGGGTACACAGAGCAATTGTTGGGGTATTGCTATGTGGTTGCTAGGGTATCCATGATGGTTGCTAAGTGCGGTAGCTGCGGTAGCTAAGGTACTCGGGGCGGTTGCTAAGGTCTTGCTATGAGGTTGCAAGGGTACCTGCTAAGGTGGTGTAGCTTTGCGGTTGCTACGGTACCCAGAGCAGTTGCTAGGGTGTTGCTATGCGGTTGCTAGGGTACCATGGGCGGTGGCTAAGGTGTTGCTATGTGGTTGCTAGGGTACTCGGGGTGGTTGCTAGAGTTTTGCTATGCGGTTGCTAAGGTGTTGCTATGCGATTGCTAGAGTGTTGCTATGCGGTTGCTAGGGTACCCAGGGCCGTTGCTAGAGTGTTGCTATATGGTTGCTAAGGTCTTGCTATGCGGTTGCTAGGGTACCCGGGGCGAATGCTAAGGTGTTGCTATGCTGTTGCTAGGGTACCCGGAGCAATTGATGGGGTGTTGCCATGTGGTTGCTAGGGTACCCGTGATGGTTGCTAAGGTGTTGCTATGCGGTTGCTAGGGTACCCGGGGCTGTGGCTATGGTGTTGCTATGCGGATGCTAGGGTGCTGCTTTGTGGTTGCTATGGTAACCGGGGCAGTTGCTAAGGTGTTGCTCTGCAGATGCTAAGGTACTCGGTGTGTTTGCTATGCAGTTGCTAGGGTATCCGGGGCAGTTACGAAGGAGTTGCTATTCGGTTACCAAGGTATTAGAGGTGGTTGCTAGGGTGTTGCTATGCGGTTGCTAGGGTACCCAGGCCCGTTGCTATGCGGTTGCTAAGGTGTTGCTATGCGGTTGCTAGGGTACCCGGGGCTGTTGCTAAGGTGTTGCTATGTGATTGCTTAGGTACTGGGGTGGTTGCTAAGGTGTTGGTATGCGGTTTCTATGGTACCCGGAGTGGTTGCTAAGGTTTTGCTAAATAGTTGCTAGGGTGCTGCTATGTGGTTGCTAGGTTACCCGGGGCGGTTGCTAAGGTTTTGCTGTGCAGTTGCTAAGGTACTCGGAGTGGTTGATATGCAGTTGCTAGGGTACCCTGGGCAGTTGCTAAGGTGTTGCAATGTGGTTGCTTAGGTACTGGGGTGGTTGCTAGGGTGTTGATATGCGGTTGCTAAGTTGCTGCTATGTGGTTGCTAGGTTAACCAGGGCGGTTGCTAAGGTGTTGCTATGCGGTTGCTAAGGTATTCGGGGTGGTTGCAATTGAATTGTTATGCGGTTGCTAGGGTACCAGGGGTGGTTGCTAAGGTGTTGCTATGCTGTTGCTAGGTTACCCGGGGCGGTTGCTAAGGTCTTACTATGCGGTTGCTAAGGTACTCTGGTTGGTTGCTATGCTGTTGCTAAGGTGTTGCTATTCGGTTGCTAGGGTACCCGGGGCGGTTGCTAATGTGTTAATATGCGGTTGCTATGGTACCAAGAGCAGTTGCTGGGGTGTTGCTATGTGGTTGCTAGGGTACCCGGGATGGTTGCTAAGGTGTTGCTATGCGGTTGCTAAAGTGTTGCTATGCTGTTGCTAGGGTGCTGCTAAGTGGTTGCTAGGGTACCAAAAGCAGTTGCTGGGGTTTTGCTATGTGGTTGCTAGGCTACCCGGGATGGTTGCTAAGGTGTTGCTATGTGGTTGCTAGGGTACCTGTAGCTGTTGCTAGGGTGTTGCTATGCGATTGCTAAAGTGTTGCTATGCAGTTGCTAGGGTGCTGCTAAGTGGTTGCTAGGGTACCTGGGGTGGTTGCTAAGGTGTTGAAATTCGGTTGCTTAGGTACTCGGGTGGTTGCTAGAGTGTTGCTATGCGGTTGCTAAGGTGTTGCTATGCAGTTGCTAGGGTGCTGCTATGCGTTTGCTAGGGTACCGGGGATCGTTGCTTGGGTGTTGCTATGCGGTTGCTAGGGTACCTAGGGCAGTTGCTACTGTACTTGGGGCGGTTGCTATGCTGTTGCAATGCTTTTACTAAGGTATTTGGGGTGGTTGCTAGGGTGTTGATATGCGGTTGCTAGGGTACCCGGAGGGGTGAAAAGGTGTTGCTAAGTAGTTGCTACGGTGCTGTTATGTGGTTGCTTGGGTACCCGGTGCGGTTGATAAGGTTTTGCTATGCGGTTGGTAAGGTACTCAGGGTGCTTGAAATGCAGTTGCTAGTGTACCCGGGATGGTTGCTAAGGTGTTGCTATGCGGTTGCTAGGGTACCCGGGGCTGTTGCTAAGGTGTTGCTATGCGGTTGCTTAGGTACTGGGGTGGTTGCTAAGGTGTTGCTATGCGGTTGCTAGGGTACCCGGGGCTGTTGCTAAGGTGTTGCTATGCGGTTGCTTAGGTACTGGGGTGGTTGCTAAGGTGTTGCTATGCGGTTGCTATGGTACCCGGAACCGTTGCTAAGGTTTTGCTAAGTAGTTGCCAGGGTGATGCTATGTGGTTGCTTGGGTACTTTGGGCTGTTGCTAAGGTGTTGAAATGCGGTTACTTAGGTACTGGGGTGGTTGCTAGGGTGTTGCTATTCGGTTGCTAAAGTGTTGCTATGCAGTTGCTAGGGTGCTGCTATGTGGTTGCTAGGGTACCCGGGGCGGTTGCTAAGCCATTGCTCTGCTGTTGCTAAGGTACTCAGTGTTTTTGCTATGCAGTTGCTAGGGTACCCGGGGCAGTAGCTAAGGTGTTGCTATGCGGTTACTAAGGTATTAGGGGTTGTTGCTAGGGTGTTGCTATGCGGTTTCTACGGTACCCAGGGCGGTTGCTAAGGTGTTGCAATGCTATTGCTAGAATGTTGCTATGCGGTTGCTAGGGTACCCAGGGCCGTTGCTAGGGTGCTGCTATATGGTTGCTAAAGTCTTACCAAGCGTTTGTTAGGGTACCCAGGGTGAATGCTAAGGTGTTGCTATGCGGTTGCTAGGGTACCCAGAGCAATTGCTGGCGTGTTGCTATGTGGTTGCAAGGGGACCCATGACAGTTGCTAAGGTGTTGCTATGCGGTTGCTAAGGAATTAGGGGTGGTTGCTAGGTTGTTACTATGCGGATACTAGGGTACCCACGGCCGTTGCCAAGGTGTTGCTCTGCGGTTGCTAAGGTACTCGGTGTGTTTGCTATGCAGTTGCTAGGGTATCCGGGGCAGTTACTAAGGTGTTGCTATGCGGTTACTAAGGAATTAGGGGTGGTTGCTAGGGTGTTGCTATGCGGTTGCTAGGGTATCCAGGGCCGTTAGTATGGTGTTGCTATGTGGTTGCTAGGGTAACCAGAGCAGTTGCTGGGGTGTTGCTACATGGTTGCTAGTGTACCAGGGATGGTTGCTAAGGTGTTGCTATGCGGTTGCTAGGGTACCCGGGGCTGTTGCTAAGGTGTTGCTATGCGGTTGCTTAGGTACTGGGGTGGTTGCTAAGGTGTTGCTATGCGGTTGCTATGGTAGCCGGAACCGTTGCTAAGGTTTTGCTAAGTAGTTGCGAGGGTGATGCTATGTGGTTGCTAGGGTAACCGGGGCGGTTGCTAAGGTGTTGCGATGCGGTTGCTAAGGTGCTGCTATGCGGTTGCTAAGGTATTTGGGGTGGTTGCTAAGGTCTTACTATGCGGTTGCTAAGGTACTCTGTTTGGTTGCTATGCGGTTGCTAAGGTACCCGGGGCAGTTGCTAAGGTGTTGCTATTCGGTTGCTTGGGTACCTTGGGCTGTTGCTAAGGTGTTGAAATGCGGTTACTTAGGTACTGGGGTGGTTGCTAGGGTGTTGCTATTTGGTTGCTAAAGTGTTGCTATGCAGTTGCTAGGGTGCTGCTATGTGGTTGCTAGGGTACCCGGGGCGGTTGCTAAGGTGTTGCAATGCGGTTGCTTAGGTACTGGGGTGGTTGCTAGGGTGTTGCTATGCGGTTGATAAGGTGTTGCTATGCAGTTGCTAGGGTGCTGCTGTGCATTTGCTATGGTACCCGGTATGGTTGCTAGGGAGTTGCTATGAGGCTGCTAGGGTACCCGGGTTGGTTGCTAAGGTGTTGCTATGCTGCGGTTCCTAGGGTTCCAAGAGTGGTTGCTAAGGTGTTGCTAAGCAATAGCTAAGGTACTCGGGGCGGTTGCTAAGGTGTTGCTATGAGGTTGCTAGGGTACGCGGGGTGGTTGCTAGAGTGTTGCAATGCGGTTGCTAGGGTTCCCAGGGCGGTTGCTAAGGTGTTGCAATATGGTTGGTAGGGTGCTGCAATGTGGTTGCTAGAGTACCTGGGGCGGTTGCTAAGGTGTTGCTCTGCTGTTGCTAAGGTACTCGGTGTGTTTGCTATGCAGTTGCTAGTGTACCCTGGGCAGTAGCTAAGGTGTTGCTATGCGGTTATTAAGGTATTGGGGGTTGGTGCTAGGGTGTTGCTATGCGGTTTCTAGGATACCCAGGGCGGTTGCTAAGGTGTTGCAATGCTATTGCTAGAGTGTTGCTATGCGGTTGCTAGGGTACCCAGGGCCGTTGCTAGGGTCTTGCTATATGGTTGCTAAGGTCTTACTATGCGGTTGCTAGGGTACCCCGGGTGAATGCTAAGCTGTTGCTATGCGGTTGCTAGGGTACCCAGAGCAATTGCTGGGGTGTTGCTATGTGGTTGCAAGGGGACCCGTGACAGTTGCTAAGGTGTTGCTATGCGGTTGCTAGGGTGCCCCGGGCTGTTGCTAAGGTGTTGCTATGCGGATACTAAGGTATAAGGGGTGGTTGCTAGGGTGTTGCTCTGCGGTTGCTAAGGTACACGGTGTGTTTACTATGTAGTTGCTAGGTTAGCCGGGGCAGTTACTAAGGTGTTAGTACTAAATCGTGTTTGGTCTCGTACCGCGCGCTTTGCTTGGCCATTTGTTGTGATAAACAGGAAAGTGTGTCCAGCTGAATTCAATTTGAGTTTTATTTATTTATTTATTTTATTTATTTAGTCATTTAGCAGACGCTTTTATCCAAAGCGACTTACAAATGAGGACTATAAAAGCAGTCAAAACTAACAAAAGAGCAACAATATATAAGTGCAAATGACAAGACCTGCCAAGAGATCATTGCAATAGTCCAGCCTGGATAGGACAAGAGCTTGAACAAGGAGTTGTGTTGCATGTTCTGAAAGAAAGGACCTGATCTTCCTAATGTTGTATAAAGCAAATCTGCAGGACCGGGCAGTTTTAGCAATGTGGTCTGAGAAATTCAGCTTATCATCAATCACAACTCCAAGGTTTCTAGCTGTTTTTGAAGGAGTTATGGTTGATGAGCCTAACCGGGGCGGTTGCTAAGGTGTTGCTATGCGGTTGTTAAGCCTATGAGTTTTGTTAAACGAATAAAAAAGAAGCTTAGTTTACCGCGGAAGCGGTCGTGTGAAGACCGAAGAGTGTAAAGACCATCGAC